AAGCCATGGTTTTCCACTGTCATTGGCTATCTTTAAAAAAAAAAAGCTTCTTGTAGATCTTGCACAACATATTTTACATCATATCCCTTGCTGAAATCCTACTCAATATTCGGTGCACGATATCTTCCATGGTTTATACACTATGACTTGCACTATTTGCTCCAAATAAAAGCATCGGGACAATACCAAGCAATATAATGTGGAGTCAATCAACTAATTCCTTCCATTTGTTCTTATAATTTCTGTCAGTTTGCAAATGATTCCTGTCAAATAAACCAGTGAACTTACATAAAATCAACTGTCCGGAAGGAAAAAAAATCGAAGGCAAATTAAGATATAAATACGTGAGGTAGTATAAAGAGAGAGAATCATCTAGAAAAACTTCAAAATTATAAGTATTATTCTGCATTTCAACTCCAATTAAATGATCGTTCAACTGTAGCACAGCAAGAAAAGCAACAAGGTCCCATAAGTAGTCACAGAATAAGAAAAAACTTGTTGATGAAATCTCGTTATTGACCAAAAGTGAACACTAATTTCACAAACTACCAACTGAAGCTTGGTAAGATTTATTCCACCCGCAAATTGTCTCTCTAATTCTGAATAAAACTCGTAACATAGTTCAGCTATACTCCCAAGAAAATAGAACAACAGAAAAGGCATGGCCTCATGTCATTGATGACGGAATGTACATTCATTCGTCAACATGTTTGCAATTCATCAATTATCAACAAATAAAAGGTAGATAAGTTGAGCAAAAACCAGTCTTGAAAACACATGCTTAAAATCAAGGTTACAAGGCTTCCTATCTGCATGAAGGCTGAGCTACTAACCATAACATTAAGGTGAGATAAATGAGTCAAACATAGCTAACTAAACCACAAACTACCAGCAATTAAAGTCTTCTTTGTATTCATTTATGAAACTGAGAAGATGCCCTTGATATCATTTATGACCCACTTTCCCCGACCAACACAAGTCCAACAAATGACATTTTATTCATTTTGTCCTACACCTTTAATTGTTTGGAGAAGTCTAAAAATACAAGAGGTTGGGTAATAAGAAAATAAAAATGATGAATCTATGGAAGAGGGGGAAAAAATCAGACGGGCCATGAAGACTGGTAACTTGAAAAAATACATTTTAGGCAGTCGAAAACCATGACCCTTGGTGTTTTTTTTCCCCCAGTTGAAAAATTATCTATGTAGAAAGGCATAAAAGGGCAAAGAATAATACATAAAATCTAAATTACACTCTAGGACACATACATGTTTTTTGCAGGGAAGATTATATAATGAATACGTAACACAACAATATAAACTCCTGTAGAGGTACCATATGCCATAATAATTTCAGATAATTTATCTTCTTATATTACACGAAAATCTCATATCACATCCATATACAACCATTCATTCATACAAACGCGAGTGGTCATGGAGATAAAAAGCTCATTCATCATATTCCTATAATGAATGGGCTTATTTTACATTAATACAGCTAATCATAAAGAATCGCGAATATTAACTAACTAAAGAGAAAGATTTATGAATACAACCAAATAAAGTTTAACAAGAAAAAGGATTAAAAATATACTATGTTTTGCCCAATAGTAGCCATTATTCCAATAGTAAACAATCATACCCATTCTCAAAACAAGCCAAAGAATTTTTGAGAAAATAATCCAAAAAGAGTGAATATCACCTGAAATTTAGCCATCTCAGTTTCGACAAGATTCTGGGCAGTGAACATAGGAACGGTGTTCTATAGTACTCCACCTAGGTCAGGGAAGCAGCAGAAAGTTGGGGAATGAGTTTTAAAAAATTGGGGTCAGACAAGGGTTAATTCTAAACATTGTTTTGATTGGTAGAATTTGTTGCTAGAAAAATAAGATTGTAAATATCAACATATTGATCAAACAAGCATACCAGGTCAACAACATTTCCTACACATTCTCCCTTGGTAGTCACATCTCCAATATTTTCTCCTTTAGCAAAGGCCTTCGAGTTGAGGTAGATGTGACAACAGCAACATTCTACAAGCACGTGAAGATGAATGTGTGAAGGTGGTTTTCCATTGCAAAACATTGAGAAATGAGAAGGACAATAATAGACAAACCTTGGTGACGTTGGCAACACAAGCTAATGGAAGAAATAGATGTGGAACAGGTGCAGTTTCTAACTCTATCCCAGCTCCCAACTTCATTAAAAGGTCACCAGCAATCCGAAGCTAAGTGACGTCAAATCATCAGAAGATAAGGAGTTATATTTGTAGTGTTTCCAGCAACAATAAATACATTGGCTAATCGTAAATCATCCTTCCTCTTCGACATCCAAGCCCAAGGAATAGAATACATGCTTTAGATCATAATCAAATTTCCTTCCCTGCCTTGCAAAAAGCATCTTCCCAATCCGTCCAGCACCATCCTATAATTAGCCATACCACAGAATATTATTATTTTCTTTAAAAAGAAAAAGAAATCCTTTTCTCCTCATGATCAAAATTCAAAAGGAACTCAATCCTGAGTTTCAGTTGGTTCAATGACAAACAAAAGTCATGAGGAACATAAATAGCGGAGATTCATAAATTCCACATATCCCCTTATGAAACATTATATGATACATTTTTACTTTCAACTTTGTCCTAGCCCAGCCCTTGAAGCCTTAATTTCTAAGTTATAATAAGAATTATGTGAAAACAAAGATTGATTTTTTTATAACATGCCCAAAAAAACTCTAATCTTCTTTCACAACTTTTAGTTTCTTTGGTATGCAATCTTGAAGTTGTCATATAGTTGCAGATAATATATACCATCAAAGTTCAAACAATGGTCTTATAATCATTTAGGATTAAATATTATATATTTGTGCAAAGTTGATGCATGGGACCTTGCCCATAGCTCGTATCAATAACCTTTGGATAATTTTCAGATCCATTACAACAAAACATCATAGCGAATAGACAAGATAAAACTCATTAATTTGAGATTTTCGACGTGTTAGCACTACATCTTTCAACAGAAGTCTGTATAATAATGCTTTAACCGCCTTTTTGCTTCCTCAAGCAGGAAAATTCCACCAGCTTATTTTAATAAAATATAGCAGTGTAAAAGTGTAGAAATAATGAAAAAAATTCACGCTCTTAAATTTCGTAAACTATTCTTTAAAGTTTAACTGAAAATTGCGATTTAGGTTTAAGCACCTGCACGTTGCTCCAGCAGCATAAATTTGTAACAGAAAACAATCAATAAAACCCAAAAAAATAAAATCCTTTCATCAATTACTGATGCATGGATCCCCTTTTATTGATGAATTTCATCCTATGACAGAAGTACATATTAAATCATTACAAGATTGATAGGAGTGTGCATAGATTTTGAATCTCAATCATCTCTATGACATATAACAATCACCAAAGATGGATACCACAAGGATCCAGAGAGGTCAACCATCCTAGTATTTAAAAATATCAAGATGATACTTGAACATGTTGGCCTCCTCCGTATAAAACAACAAAGTATGCAAGAATGGATCATATCATATATGTTTGCTAAAATATATGTATTTGGTTTCTAAACTAAAGTAATATGAACATGTATTTTTGATAAAATTTGTTCGCCGTAACTTCTATAGACACACATGAAACGAAGAAACGAAGACAAAATTTACCTTTGAAAGATAAAACATCCAGCTTTAAATATTGGACAAGCAAGTTGTTTTGTAAAATTTAGTGCTCGGGAATATCAAGATCTGAAATTCAAATTTACATATTTTTTGTCAGATCAGGGGAGAAATTATCATTTCTTATACTACATCATGAAAATATTAAAATAATCCTATATAATGGTAGATTATTCACAAGTCCTACATATGAATAACAGGAAAAAGTTATGGGGTAAACAAAACTTCTCGAGTACATGAACACAATTTAAAGCTAAACTCAAACACCAATCTATGAGAGAAAGATAAAGAAGGTTTAGAAACAAATAAATATTAAATTAATTGATTAATATGATAGTACTTGACCAATCATGTTGTGCTTAATACAACAGTACCTGGAGTTGATATTAAAGTCTAAAAAAAAAAAACCAAAATGTCACAAAGTAAGCAAATTTCAATGCACTACACAAAAGGAAACCTTAAAATAATATTTGTTTTCAAACATACAATCACAGCACTAATGATTTTAGAATAACAGTACCCATCATCACGGCAAACCAAAATTATTCATTCAGTACTCACGTTCTCACCTTTTCATTTCACTCGCTCTTTCAAGAATCATTTCACAGACAAAATCACTCCACTTTTTACTGTATAATCTTATTCATAACTACACATTCCCAACCATTCAAAGTCCTCAAACACACACACTCTTCTCAGAAGACTTCTGTTTTCTAATTTCTTGTCTACCGTGATCGTTTAATCAAATTGTGCAATGAACTTTGAGAGTCTATAATCAAGGTAAGGACCCAAATTTCTTGTGGGATGAGATTAAGCTAACATTTTGGGAAAATGGATGCAGTAACGTAATATGCAAATCATTGTTTTAAACATCTATTTGAGGCTTACGCTTTCAAGCTATTAAACTAAATATTGTTGTTATCTAGGCTGTTACCTTAGCCGGGCTTACCTCAAGTTTCTCCTGGCGTTCTAGAAGTTTATCTTTTGCTTGTGCAGCGGCAGTGGAAGCATCCTAGAACAATTAACATGGTCAGACAGAAAAATCCCAATAATAAATCAAAGTCATTTATAGGCAATCTGAAAGGAAAAGGTTACCCCCGTGTTCCTATATTTAGCAATAATTTCTTCACGCGTCCGGACCCTTGGTTTAGTATCTGTGGTACCACCATCTAATAACATTTCCCTCTCAGTTTCCTTTCCTAAAAATTAGCAGAAGAAAATGTTCAGGTCCATCAAGGTAAAAACACAATCTATGATTAGAAAGAAATTAGTAACTTTTACCTTTTCTGTCATTATTAGCGATAAGAGATGATGATACAGTAGGAACAGGTTCATCTATTAGTATAACTCTGGCATCCGATGTATTATCCAGTGGGCAAGCAAGTAGTTCAGGTGATGTCGACTTTGGGCTCTCCGCAGGTGATGTCGAATCCGACCGGTGCTTCCCATTTCTACTCCTATGAAACAGCAATCCTGCATGGGAACAAAGACAGAGATAGAGAAAAAGGTCAAACACAAAAGCAATAGGGCTAAAGAAAATGGAACAACCATACACAGAAAGAGGAAAACGAAGGTTTGAGGATTCTAAGTGCATGTACAACTCTCAGTTTTTTTGCGATTTTTCTTCTAGGTTCTTCTGATCTGAATTCGAAAAGGAACGAAAAGGATGACTGTGGAAAGATTGAAGAGAAATCTTGCGTGTGTCAGATGGAAAATTGAAGAAGTAGGAGAGCACAGAAACCAAGAAGTAGGTTGCCGTGTTTGAGAAGAGAAGGAAAAGGCAGGAACTGAGGAAAGTAAAAAAATCTCCTCTTATATGGCTCGACTGGCTCGGCTTATATGATTGGAAAATGGCTGGTTTACTTGGCCATTTGGCTCAGGAACAGTGGCAAAGAAGTTGTCTCTTTTAATATTGTAAGGGATATATACACACACACAAAAGCTAACATATAAATTTAATAATTATAGTCCATATGGATATGTTCATGCCGTAATCTACCATTATTTATGTGCTCATTAAACAGATTTTTCTAATATCACCAATTTTCTTGATCTTTCGGTAAAAGACTAACATCTGCACGACCTCATACATGCAACGTGTTTGGCCAAGATATTTAGATAAGGTGTAAACTTACTTTTTTGGACATGAAGTATAGGCTTACTGTCAAGATAAGTAAATTCTAAGTGCATGTACAACTCTCAATTTTTTTGCGATTTTTCTTCTAGGTTCTTTTGATCTGAATTCGAAAAGGAACGAAAAGGATGACTGTGGAAAGATTGAAGAGAAATCTTGCGTGTGTCAGATGGAAAATTGAAGAAGTGGGAGAGCACAGAAACCAAGAAGTAGGTTGCCGTGTTTGAGAAGAGAAGGAAAAGGCAGGAACTGAGGAAAGTAAAAAAATCTCCTCTTATATGGCTCGGCTTATATGACTGGAAAATGGCTGGCTTACTTGGCCATTTGGCTTAGGAACAGTGGCAAAGAAGTTGTCTCTTTTAATATTGTAAGGGATAATCTCTTACCTACACTTACAATATGGTGTAGTGATCACACATTTGAGAGTTTTTTTATTTATTTGGATCCCGCGCGCACGTGAAAGGGTGTCACATTTTCGGTAATCCACGTTCGGTACAAATAGAATTATCCAATTCACTATTAAATTAAGGAGTGATGGGAAAAAACAGGATACACGGTTACAAATCGAGTGAAGCGTGTGAAATACGGGAGGAACGTGGCACCGCGACTCGTGAATTGTGAATCAGAGAGACCTTCGATCTCTTCTTTCTCCCTACGCCCACGCTCCTCAAACACATCGATTATCCTGTACTACAGCTCGACTTGCATTTGATCCACTTTTCGCTTTTCCAATTCTTTAAGTTACTTGCGCAATCCGATCCTAATAGATCTGGAACAACGCAGGTTAGTCATCTATTTCATCTCAATCCCTCAATCTCTTAATTAGAATTCTATTGTTGAAGTTATTTCTGATTTTTTCTTCAATTGATGTAAATCATGGCATCATTGAATTTAACTGCTTAGAAATTGAAATAAAATCAAATAGAGGAATCCACCATGTTAAAGAAAATGTGGGAAAGTACTATAATTTTCTACTATGACTTAATTGAGTGTTAATGTCAATGTGGTATCTTATTGACTCTAGTTTATGTTTGTCCTATACTGATCATGTCATTTTCTAATTTCCAGCTTTTCGGTAAAGCTCGGCAACAATGTCTGAAGAAGGGGTTTATAATGGTGAGGCACTGGCTAATCGTGTGGAAGAGGGCAATGAACTGCATAATGTAAAAGACTATAGTGGTGGGAATCTCATCAAGGAGAATGGATTACATGATGGAAATAAACATACTGATTACAGCCATGATCAACTTGAAGAGACTGTGGTAGAACTTAGTTTCCAGAATGAATATTTGAAGTCTCAGTTTGTGGATATGAAGAATCACTTTCTTGATTCTGGCGAGCCTGAAGAACGAAATAAAGCTATGGAGCTAGACCATTTGGGTTCCGATGGTGATGTCAGAGAGGTTCATGAAAAATTAGAATCTTTGAAAAGAGAACTTCTAGAGGAAAGACAAACTCGGAGTGCTGCAGAGAAAGCTCTAGAGCATCTTGGAGCAGCACACTCAGAGGCAGATACAAAGGTTCAAGAGCTTTCTGCCAAACTTGCTGAAGGTTGTAATATTTTTTGTTGATTTCCATGCTATCTCTATTGATTGGATTTGGTAACATATTTTGGAATTAGATCCATTTATGATTCTTGATGATGGTAATTGATGTATTAGTTAAATGTGGCCTTTGGATAGAGTTCTTGGGAATAAGAGATTTGTTATGTTATTTTACCATTATCGTGCTAAACTGGTTTAATGGTTTCTTCGGGTAGCTCAACAGAAGATGGATCAAGAAATAAAAGATCGTGATGAGAAGTATTCTGAGCTTGATACCAAGTTCAACAGGCTTCACAAAAGAGCTAAGCAACGTATTCAAGAGGTGCAGAAGGTATTTTGTTACCTTTTCCTTATGTTACTTTTCATTTATATCACTATCTAACATTTTCATATTGCTTCCACTTTTCCATTAAGTATTTCCGTCTTTTGTCAGGATTTGTTGCGCTAGATTTATTATTATAGACTGTTGATCTCTTCAACACATAAAACACTTATTTATTGTTTTTTACAGACATCCTCGTAAGAACTGAATATTCTTTATGTTTGGACTGCTATTATTGTGAAGCAAAGGCTTGAAGAAAATTGTTTACTGCAATCACTTACTTGAAATTAATATTTTTATATGTTATTAAATGACTCAACATTGTCAATTTCATTTATCACATACTTCCTGTGCACTATTATTTTGCATAATTGCTCAAGTTATAGGTGGAATGGTTTCACCATCAAGTTGATGGTTGCTTTAATCATCTAAAATCTCAGCGTCTTGATGTAATTTGATTTACCACTTGGTGAGAGACGCTGCAAGCTGGTAGATTCGAGGGAAAGGGAGAGTGTGTTTTAACAATAAGAACTTGAAGGTATGGGTTACATGTACACCAAATCTAGAAGGTACTTGAAAGAGGTTATGTTAAGCAGGATTTGAAGAGGGTTGATGCTTGTTACAATTAGACTTGACAATTGAATAAACAAAGAAATTCTCTCTTAATTATCTCTTTTCTCCTCCCTCCTCCTCCTCCTCCTCCTCCTCTTCCTTCTATATCCTCTTTCTCTTACAATCACACAGTTTGTTACAAGCGTACATCATCATATGAGCCCAGGCAAGCTTTTGGTGGTGAAGTCCTATAGTTCAATTTGGTTCACTTCCCTATCTGTTTATTTGCAGGTCTTAATTTAAAGAAACTAAAATATGTGAAACAAAATTTAGCAGTGACAAGTATAGGGCTGTTAGCATCTTTCTTTTCTGAAGCACAAATCACTAACGGGTTTAACAAAATGCAATGAACATTGGAAACATTGGCTTTAAGACATCATTATATGAATTTTAGTAGAAAACGACATGCTTTATGTCCTTGCCCACTATTTGTTGGGAATTTTGACTACCATGTTGAAAATGATTTTTTTACTTCTTTGTAATGTGTTCAATTATTGAAAGGAGATTCTCTCTTTCAGGAAAAAGATGATTTTGAGACCCAGTTTCGCGAAGTTAACGAGAAAGCTGACCGCGCATCATCACAGCTGTCAGCATTGCAGCAAGAGCTGGAGCGTACACGGCAGAATGCTAATGAAGCTCTGAAAGCAATGGATGTAGAAAGGCAACAATTGCGAAGTGCAAACAATAAGTACTGTCTCCAGAACGCTCTTTTAAACAGATCAAATCATACAGCATTATAGTTCATTATGAATGAGATGAATTCTGATGCTGCTGCCGTGGCAAATTTTAAATTTATCTATAATATCATTATGCTTTATGTACGTTTGAATTTTCAGATTATCTTTTTTTTTTTTTGATAATTATGTGAAAGTAATCAAATGATGGTTGTAGCACATCTATTCTTCAACATGTTTTGGTGCTCATAAAAGGTTCTGCCAATATGGTTTAAGATTTCTGTTTCTATCAAGTGAAAAAAGTAACAAAAATGTTGTTGGTTAGATATCTGGACTTCCGAAATTCCTTTTTTACTCTTAATCACATAAAAATGCTATTGTTATGTAGACTTCGGGACAACATTGAAGAGCTGCGTCGTTCCTTGGTACCCAAAGAAAATGCTTTGGAGACATTACAGCAGTCACTTTTAGAAAAAGATCAGGTATATTTTGAGAAATCTTCTGGCTTATTTATTTATTTTTTGATTTTTTTTGGTTTTGACTGAATTTTCATTAGTTGTGTTATCTCCAAAAGCTTGTTGTTATTCCCAACTTATGCAACTTCACATAATCTTGTACTTTGAATGATTATATTTGGGAAGTTGTCTTTTGTTGCTGTAGTGAGAGAGGGCTCCTTTTGGCGTGCAAGGAGAGAGACTTGCATGTGCTTGCTTATGCTTGATATGCATGAAATATATAATTATAATCTTGTAAGGTGACTTGTGACCTTGTGGCATTTATGAGGGATAGTTAAATCTGTCTGACAGTGGAGACTGAGAAAATGATTGAAAAGAGAAAAAGCGAAAGAGGTTTGACAATAACTCAATAAGTACTAATTTTGGAAGCTGGTAACGTATATCACATTTTGTCGCTTATATATAGTTGTCTTCATTGGTTCCTTCCCTATTTTTACCAGCCATGAATCTTAAGTTTTTGCAATGTAAAAGCTAGGCATATAGATGTTCTTCAGGAAACCTCTCTTCCAGTAAAATAATATTTTCTTGATATTAAAGAGGTATGTTAATTACCTTAGGCTCAGGATATTGATTCAGAAAGTAACACTTCGAATTCATCGTAATGTATGGTCTTTCCCTAAGATGATTCAGTGTATGGTTCATGGCAGAGCCACATTTCTCGATTGTACAATACATCACATTTTATGGATATTGAATGAAGAATTAGATTCATATCTGGAGCTATATTCGTAATCATAAGTGAAAAGAGTAAAACAATAGATTGGTTTATTTGGGATTTTCTTGTAACGACCCGAGTCCCACTTAACGGGCTGCCCCGACCGTTAGATAGCTGTCTTGGCCGTTAGATCGACGACGTACTGTCCTCACAGTACCAACATGGGTCTTTTCAGCATGCTTTGTCCTCACTCGCACGCTTCTCGGGAAAACTTCCTAGGGGGTCACCCATCATAGAATTGCTCCAAGCCAAGCACGCTTAACTATAGAGTTTCTAACGATGGATTTCCGGAAAAGGAGGTGCACCTTGTTGGTATGAGTAGTACTTATCAAATCTTTCAACTTTCCTAGTCTGGGTATTACATTCACCCCCCGTTAGACTCGCGACGTCCCCGTCGCGCTTGATCCATCTAAGGATCCATTGCCAGGCGTTTGGATTCTAGATGTGGCTCCTAAGGGTTCAAGAGGTGGCTCCCGCCCTATATCGTAGCACTTTGTCCCGTATAGTACTTAGTTCTCGATTTCCGACTGGCAACCTAGCTCTGATATCATTTATAACGACCCGGGTCCCGTTTAACGGGCTGTCCCGTTCGTTATATTGACGACGTACTGTCCCCATGTACCAACATGAGTCTTTTTAGCATGCTTTGTCCTCACTCGCACGCTCCCCGGGAAAACTTCCCTAGGTCACCCATCATAGAATTGCTCCAAACCAAGCACGCTTAACGGTAGAGTTTTTAACGATGGACTTCCGAAAAAGCAGGTGCACCTTGTTGGTATGAGTAATACCTATCAAATCTTTTAACTTTCCTGGTCTGGGTATTACATTTCTAGTGCCAAAAAAATATATTTTCACATTTGAGAATGTTTGTTGAGTGGAATCTAATATAATATACAATTTTTCCTCGACCGCAGTAAGGCCGTTGATGTGGGTCCAAGTAGCAGTAGGCTTCTTGGTGGCGAAAATTTTAAAGATTTATAAGTGTACTTTGTTAAATTTGAACATGTATTTGGTCACCCTAATTTAGGGTGAGCCTTCTTTTTTCTGTACAGAGAAAAACATTGAGGGTAGTGGCTCGAGTCTAGAAATGCATTGTAATCCTCTTATTTGATATAGTGCAATTGGACATAGCTCTTGCATTGAGAGTGGACCATTTAAATTGTGTGTTTTTCTTCTTTTTGTTATCCAAGAAATGTTAAGTCAAAAACTAGAAGCAGAGACTAATACCTTACAAAGTTAAAAACTAGAAGCAGAAACTAATACCTTACAAAGTTAACTTTATATAAAAGAAGATTACGTGGGTATCTCTCGAATTAAGGAGTCTCCTAACTCTTTCCTGGAGTAGAATGTAAAATTAAGAAATTGCAGTTCAGACTTGAAAATAGAGCTTAGACATCATAAATCAAGTCATAAAGTTGACCATTCACTCCACCTTCACATTATGGATATTTTCTTGATTCCAAAATCAAGAAAGACAATAGGCCTCAAAAACTTTCATACCGAAAATCAAGAAAGACAATACCTTACTAATAGGGCCTTGTTAACTCAAGGGACCTAATGTAAAGGCCCTATTAGTCAACAAGTATAACTTTCATACCGAAAATCTTCATTTGTTGCCGAGGGTACAATTATTGTTCGTACTTCATAGGTTTCGGACAGTTTACAAGTTGCATCAGATAATTGTCATTGCATCACCATGATCTGACATTCAGGGAACCAATGGAGAAGGTTTGCTAGTTACTGAGATCTTATTTCACATTATGACGATTTTGAAATTATAAAATTCTACTAACATTGAACTCAGAAGGAATTTGCACTCTCAGATAGGTCTGAGTTGCTGAAAATAGTCAGTTTGTGTAGAAGTTTAGCTGCAATATATATGAATGATCAACAAGTTGAACTCTGGATCAATATATAGAGGTGATGATGGCTTATATTGTTAGGTCATTATATTCTATTGCTGAACCATTGGTCCATGTTGCTTAAATATAAATTTCATGTGGTGTGGCCTTTCCATATACTTGAAACTTCAGAAGGTGGGTTGGCGGAAAGGACAGGATTCGGAGTGACAGTATTGTGTTTGGTTAAAGAACCTTTATTCTGCTGTTTAGAGTGTCCAATTGGCGTAACACAATTAACAGTCTTCATGTCTTGAGATAAAAATAACATTGATAATTGTTGGGGGCAAATAAATAACCCTTTGACCATCCCAAATTTTCAGAGATCTGTGAAATCTGTTTCACCTAGTTGAGAATACTTATCTGACCTGCTGACATCTAAGATGTCTTCTTTTTAAGTGCTCTCATTGGCCTGGTCCCACAGAGGAAGTAATAAATTATCAGGAAGGTGATGAAATAAACTTACAGCCAGGAAAATATGTGATCCAGCAAAATTTTCAGGGTAATATTTGGTTTGGACGTTTCTAATTAATTCTAATGTTATATTTAACTGATTTATAATGAATAATTTGTGAATAATTAGGTTAACAGGCCTAAAATATTAATTTCTGGTTTAGATTTGAGTATTTCATGTAGGACTAAATTACAGAAATGGTCAAACAATAACTGATAATGATTCACTCAATTTTTTAATATTGATTATTAGCCAAGTCTAAGCCCGATGTACTCTTAATAATTGCTCAAAGTATTTCGATGGAATCTAGTCGAGTTCGAAGTTTGTTCTTATATATCTATATATATCTAACTAAATGTAAAAGAGGGGGTTTTAAGTTACTGTTCATAAGCCGTTCAAGCCGAGCCGTTTTCGTTAGCCGAGCCCTGTTCCTATTCTAATTTCTAGAAAGAGGGAGTTTTGAGTTACTGTTCATAAGCCATTCAAGCCGAGCCGTTTTCGTTTGCCAAGCCGTGTTCATATTCTAATTTCCAGAATTACCCTTGTATTTATTTACTGCACATACATTTCCTTCTTTGTTGTAATTGAGGGTAAGTTGGGTATACTTCAATATCTTGAGACTAATTTATCCGAATTAACTTTTTCTCGAGCCTAATTTACATGACTAATTACGAGCTATCCAACAAGTACCATATTGATATATTTATCATCACTTTATCAAAATTCAAATATTTGACTCAAAAACATAAGAATTTAAAACGTACTTCGCTTTCGTCCCTCAACTTTCAAAATAATAAAATATAATATATAGAACAAATAAATTTTTATTCTAAAACAATTCTGTCGTTATCATTATCATTACACTGCAAAAGTAAAAAGAAGACGATTCCTTGCTCCACTTATCGATATCAGCATTCAGTGCACATTTATGCTTATGTATATATGCATTGTCCAGATTTTTAAATTGTTGACGGGCTTTGAACTTTTTTCTCAAACACTAATGATCTAAGATGAGTGATAGAATGTTCTCTAAATAAATGTACTATATAATTAGTATAAGAAGTTACAGAAGAGAAGGAAAGGGGAATTCAAAGCTATCACATCTATGTTCCATCTTAAAAGTTTGGTTTTGATGAATGATTTCTGCTATAGTGATTCTTCTTACGAAAGTAATTTTTTATTCAAATTTTGGGTTTATTATTCATCCAAATAATTTGATCATAACATCTATATTTGGTCATAATTTGTTTGCTTGAGTCTTAACATGAAAAATAGATTTCATAGGTTATGAGAATGAGGTAATTGTTTATGTTCTCAGTCCACCACACCCGACTTCCAACAACTCTATTTGTCGTATTAGCTTTTGTTTATTGTACGTATAAACATGTGAAAATTCATGTATCCAAGTATGGCATGAAACAACTCCGTTGATTACTTTAGATTATCACCAACAATATAAATACCTGTGGACACACAATTTTTATAGTCAAATACAATATTTGTTCAAAGCAAGTTTCATTTTTCAATGAAATCCGACAAAACCAAAATTCAACATTATTATTTACATTACATAACTCATTACATGTGCAACGCACATGCATTCACTAGTGTGTATATATACACACACACACACACACTCACACACACACATATATGAAGACATACAAAACATTAACCTTTTCAAATTCCATTGTTATATGATAAAGACTGACAAACTCGTCTCTCAACTTTTTGTTGGCAAGTAAGAGAAATCTTGTTCAAATCTAAAGCTTGTACCTTACAGTATATGTTACTCTGCGTTGCCTCTCTAGCACTTTATGATGTAATTCTTTGAACAGTTGTTCAAAAAAACTCACTTAAGCTTCACCAAGGTGCAAAGCTTGGCCTTGCCTATGCTTTACACTTTTAGAACACTGCTTTGACAAATTAACTTCGCTTCAAATGAATATCTGCTTGCATTTCTGTAGATGTTGGAAGACATGCGGGGGTTAGTTCAGGCAGCTGATGAAAAAAGACAATCTTCTATTGCTGAACTCTCTCTGAAGCACCAGAAGGTAAAATACATGCAGATGTCTCGGCTAAACCTCATCTTAATATCTAGAATTTCAGATCCTTCCTTAGTTGTCGTGTTCCAATCACAACTTTTCAAGGTTTAGTTTCTCCCAACCATATGTCATGCTGCAGCAATTAGAAGACATGCAAGCCCAAATTGCAGATGCATTAAATGATCGAAGCAAAGCAACTGAAACAATCTCGTCTCTGAGGGTAAGAGCTAATTGTACCCCTTCTTTCCCCAATTTTTTAAAATTTTCATTTCTGCCAAAAAGAAATGAAGTAGCAATATCTTTCTATATTTATAAATCCTTCACTGTATTTTGCTTTATGTATAAATATCTTATGAGTAATTGCTGCACTTAATTAATTTCCATGCTAAAATAAACCAAGGGAGTACTTGTTTCATTATACCAGGCTCTGGTAGCAGAGAGGGAGTCCAAAATTGCAGAGATGGATGCGGCTTCAAGTGGTGAAGCAGCACGACTTAGAGCAGCTTTGGAGACGTTAAAAGGCGAGCTTAGTCACCTGAAAAATGAGCATGTATGATGCTTTCTTAGCCTATGTTTAGTTCTCATTATTTCAAAACTCATTTTTCCCCAACTTATTTTCAACCACAAATTCTTTAAATAAAATATTTTGCACGTAAATCCAAAACTTTTCTTACTTTTTAACCACCCATTCTCCATCAATTCACTATTGCAAAACTCATTTTATCAAATAATGTTCATCAAACAGGGCCTTAGTATAATTTGAATTCGTCTATGCTATTTATTAAGCTTGATTGAGAGTTTTGCGCAACTCATCCCTTGAAATCTGACACTTTGGTTTCAAAATTTACCTTGGATTATAGCTTGCTAAGTAACTACCAACTTACTATTAGAGATGAAGAGTAAAATGGACTACATATCATCGTACTCCCAACTAAACAATTGTAACTCAAACTTTGCTGTCAGTTTCCATTATTTTTACAATTTCTTCTGCCGACACTGTCATCACTTTCTATGAGGTTGTCAAAGTCTTACATTGTTCTTCCATGATTGTCTATTGGTCACTGAAACCACCACTTCTCCTTATTTCTTTTGCCAACTAATTAACTTTTTACTCTAGCAGACTTGATTTTGGAGAATTTGAATGTGAAAAGCATATGACTACAATAAAATATATTAGTTGTATGTAAATCTACCAATCATATGTATAACATGTTTATAGATTCATATATAATATTTATACTACATATGAATGTATTTACCTTTTATATGCTGCAGGTTTTGAAGCTACTATTATGCTTATATTGAACATGGACAGATACCTCAATATAGTTTTAACAAATTAACTTCCTTATAACCTTTGAGACAAGCAATAATTCTCATTAGACACGATTTTTTCCTTTTGTTCTGTTGTGTACTTACTCTCAGGAAGCAGGTTTGAAGTGCTTGTAAATGATTTGTAGGTTTATTTTGTTGTTGCCTCAAGTTTGGGCTATTAAGCTAATAAGAACTAAGTTCCATGTAAACTAAAAAAAGAAACTCGAGTTCGGTTTTGATTTAACCAGTATATTTTAAATTATTGGGTGATGCAGGTTACAATACCATTGCAATTTAAACAATTTCCACCCTTTTCTGCCCATCTCTTTTCCACTATTGCAATTTTATTTATTTGATTGTGTTTATGATCTGATTGATCTTTTAGCAATGATCTGTATTCTTTTTTAGATGGCTAGATATTTGCCCACCTCCCATCATAACCTTTTTGTTTGTCTTGTGGTAAATATTATCATTCAAGTCGGTAATCTTCATATAGGCAGGGTTTGAAAAGCGGAGAAGTTATGCAGGGAGTGGTTTTAATGAAAAGTGAAGCAATAGAAGCTTCCTTTATGTGTTTGGATGAGTTGAACTTCTGAAAAATTGTTATGAAAGTGACAAAAGTTGGCGTTTTATATTTTAGACTGTTTTTGCTGGACATAAAATTCAGGAAAGTTTCCACAACATTTTTGCTGACCAACCATAGAACAAGTATAGAACAACCAACTTTTTGACACTTCTCTTTCCTGTCTCGAAATGAATTGAAAGGCAAAACGTTGGCTCAACTACTCATCTTGATAGACATGCAAAATGTTTTTGCTGCATTCAGGAGAAAGAAAGAGAGAGTTGGGAAGCTTCTTCTCAGTCTTTGAGAATGAAACTGGAGACTGCAGAGAGTACTCGTGTCCATGCAGAAGTTGAAGTAGCGAAGATGAGAAGTATTTCTTTACTTCTATTGTAGTTGTTATAATTGATTTGAGATTTAGATTTACATTCATATATTTTCAAATCAGGTCAACTGGAATCAGAATTGTCTGTGCAAGCTCAGCGTTTAAACAGTAAGGATGCTGAACTAGATGCAGCCAAAGAAAAGGTACTTTTTCCCTTTTTCTTTTTTCATTTGTACGATACAAACTGACCTGAAACAGAAAATACTTAGGCATGGAATCTTTTCTTTGATTATTGAAAATCATTGCCAATCTACTTTTACCAGATGATTAGTATTATGGATTGGAGTTTGGCCTATAATTTTGTGGCATAAGACTTTAACAGCATGATTTCTGCATATTGACTTGGATGTAGGTGATTGTCTGATAGCCAGCAAGAAGTATGTAGTGGACCCTCTATTTGAGTGGTATCACCTGCTCTTCATGTACCGGATTCGAATATTATCTAGAGATCCTCTATTTGGAGATTTGGAGGGAGAGAGATTTTCTCAAGGAAGAAATAAAACCTCACAATGCACAACTTAATGCAATTCTGAAATTCCAGTACTACATATATTCAACTGAACTCAATTTAGACAGGAAGTTTACTTGATAAAGATGCAACAACTAGTTTAATGGGAAAAAATTAAGTCAAGTTTTGACTCCTTGAATTATATCAATCTTAAATGAATACAATACAGTTTATCACCACGACTGTACTAATAAATAAGACATTCGATTTCAAAGGATCCCAAAATTGAAAACCTGTAATTATTAACTCTTGAGCTTTTGTTGATTACAAATCAGGTTTTTATTGAAGCTTGCAATTTCTTTATTAAGAAATTTTCACACTTGTTATCTGCCAAGTAACTGCTTTCTGACTGATTTCATTATGCTGTTTTTTTTTTCCATGTTACTGCCTCTTATAATCTGATCTTTCTATTGTTACAAATTGCAGATCAACCGCATAGAAAGTGAATTTTCTTCTTATAAAGTTCGCGCTCATGCACTTCTTCAGAAAAAGGATGCAGAGCTAGCTGCTGCTAAGGACAATGAGCAACTCAAGGCTCATGAGGAAGCTCTTAAGGTGGACATTAATCAGTCTTCTATTACCTGATAGGACAAATTCTTGAAATAACATTAGTATAAAAGATTTGTTTCCTCATAAAATCTCAACTTCTTTTGTTCTTTAGGAGGCTGAGAAAGAAATATCATTAGTGTCTGCAGAAAGGGATAAGGCTCTCCAAGATCTGAAGGATGTTTTGACTAATCTTGAGAAGGAAATTGCATCAAGGTGATATATTTCAAAATACACATGTTAATATTCAAACAATACACATGTTAATATTCAAACAATCATGTACATTTTTTATATTATAGATGTAATAGATCCTTTGAGTGATTTTCTGTTCATGCACTAGTTCATACTTGTTTCTATCAGGGTTGCATTGCCATGGTGCTTCATGAATATATAACACTTAAAAAGAAAATATTATTAATCATCTCCATCTTTTAAAATGGGGATGTGGTATTGGATCAAACAAAGTGGGGTGGGGAAAAAGGATTTATGTAGCTAACCCCAAGTTTATTGGAAATGAGTCTTAGCTTTCTATTGTTGTATCCATCTTCTGATAAAAAAAAAAGAAAAAAAAGCTCTTTCTAACATTTTGTTGAAGACATAATCTAAATAAATGACTTTGTGCCCTCTTAAAAAGCTCAAGCTATTTAACAAGGTGGTTCAATATAGTATCAAAATGGACAAGTTTCTCAAGTATCTCCACCTTGCACGACATGCCTTCAATGAGAAAATGAAACTGGCTAGCACGAGAGAAGACCTAGTTAAAGACATAATCTAGATATAAATAAATTTGTCGCTTAAGTTTTTAATAGGTGGTTCAGCACAGTTGTCTGTTTTCATTTTTCTGAAATCTTCTTATAAATTGCTTAGCAATACTCAAAAGGTTTCTTGACTATAGAGAAACTTTGATCTGATATATTGATTTCAATTCATATTCTCAAATTTCATGTTTTGTTCTTCAGAGATGCAGATATTCGCAATGCAGAGCAACAGATTAAGAGCTTGGAAATGAAGTTGAGCTCTGCTCTTTCTGCTCACCAATCTGCAAAAGAAATGTGGGAGACAAATCTTCAAAATGTGGAAGAAACATGGCGATGTACTTAACCCTTTTTTTCGTTTGTTATTCTTATATAGTTTGGTGAATGTACAAATTTTGGGGAACTTACTGTTGAATTACCATTGTTTTACGTTACCATACCACTTCAATTTGAATATTAATTTTGCAGTGAGATGTGAAGCCCTAAAGGAGCAAAATGAGGTGTCTACTAGTCAAGATTTGCAAAACGAAGTAGATAAGCTTGATCTACACTGTAAAAAATTAAAGGTCTGAGCAATAAGTTGTGTGCATGCTACATTGCGTACATTGGTTTTTTTCTTAGTATTGAATTTTTGTATCTTGTAGGAAGAGCAAGTTTCATTTCGTGATCTTGCTGATAAAATGATCGAGGAGAAGGACAGAGAAATTAGTAGACTTTTAGATGACAATAAGAATCTACGCCTGATGCTGGACTCGAGGCCACCCGTATGTCTCTTTTACCCTACATAAATAAGATTGTTGATCCATCTAGTCTGCCTTCGTCCATTTATGTTGTTCAGTCTCTTCACATAGATACTCCTGTCTTTCACCCTTGCTTAAATTTTTCATTACTTTGATACCCTATCATTATAATTTCAGGTTGATTACAGCAATAATCACTCAGGTACCAGAATTTTTTTTCTGTCTTTAAGAAGATGCTCTAGCCATAAATGTTGCCAGTATGGTGCTTAAAGATACTGTGAAATGGACCTTAAGTCTTAACTTTTTCTTCTGGAAATGATGAATGTAGACAATCAGAAACTGGAAGCCTCAAATTCAAGTGCGTTCGGTGCCGAACAACAAATTTTGGTAAAAATCTCAATGTTTCTTGTACTTAGATATTTGAAGCTGTTACGAGACATGAAATTATATTGCTATTTTGTAATGTATATCTAAATATATGCATGTCGGAGGAACTGTTATTTCGCCAGGTGGTTTTTGTGATCACATAATGCAAATAATCTTAGAGGTTTGCATTGCCACATTCTTGATTGATTTATTATAAAAAAAGATCATCAATCGCCAATTTTGTTTTTATAGCTTTATCTAATAAAGGAAAAAGAAACTAAAGGAAAGTCATTTCAACTTGTCTCTTTAAGTTTTACGAAACAAGAGCACAATATTAAAAACAGAACAGAGTTCCTGGAGTGAGAGGACCTTTGAGTTTATGCTCATAAACAACACCATTGAAATAAAACATCCTTTCTGGTCTACTTCTTTCTCCCTGAAGATTTATGACCTTTTCCACTCTAATTCAAAACAGAAAAATCTTTATTTAAGCTCTAAATTAAACTTTTAACTTGAATAGCAATATCTGATTTAGTTCTGTTCTATTTAGATTTTGGCAAGACAACAAGCTCAGAGAGAGGAGGAGCTTGCTCAGTCACAGCGGCATATTCTTGCACTTCAGGCAAGTTTTTTCTTTGGAACTGTGAATTGTAGTTAGTGTTATTCTGTTTTCTGATGTCTTTTGATGCAGGAGGAAATTGAGGAACTTGAACATGAAAATCGCCTCCACAGCCAGCAGGTACTTCAAAGTGCTCGTGGTTATACAATTTGAATCGGTCTTCACCTAACGTGCTTAATTTTTGGTGTCCTTAGTTTATTTGAACAAAGTAAACAGAGTTCTGCCATACACCATACATGTGGTTATAGAGATGTAAGGAAAACACTAGTTAAATTCTGGCTATAAGAAACATTTTATAGGAAGTGGGTCTGAAAAGAAGGCAATAGGATCAGACTAGTCAAAAATCTTTGAAGTGATGCAGTGATGAAAGTTATCTCTTTCCATATGCACCATCATAAACACATTGGAGCTTCTTGTGTTGCCTCCCTGGCCTTTTCTAGTTCTGTCTTGATGGTCTAGTTTTTAGCAGTTGCATTAGTATAGGCAAGCACAACCTATGCGATTAATCCAACAAGAGAAAACATGATGTCCGCATCCTAGTCACTAAGCAATGAAGTATTTGAAGGAGTAGTATTCTTACTGACATGGATTCGAGGCCCATAAAGGAATAGTTTTATACACTATTGCCCAACTCTCTATATAGTTTACTTTCTCAATGTTCTCCACCCTGATTTTTCGTTGTGGGATAAAAAAAATTAGCAGACTACCACCTATTTTTCAATTTTTTTATACAAGCCTAAATAATATCATGACTGTTACATATATATTACGCATTTATCATCGTATTTCTTAACTTAATTTTTTTTTTAATTCCAGTTCACTCTATATTTCTCATTTAATTTTATTTTAAGAACACTATAAAATGCTGTATGAATATTTAAGCGATTCATGATGTGTTAAAATTTTATGACTGTTAAAATTTTATATTTTTATCTCGTTAAATAAAATGTATTCGAGTTTAATAAGTGCTTCCGTCTACACAGTCTAAATAATTTTAAAAACTAACTTATTTTTGTCGATTTATAGTGGTATATTCATTTTTTTATTATAACCAGTCCAACCTGGTTCTAGTCAAGTTTAATAACTGCTTCCATCTACATATAACAATTAATTTGAAAAGTAACTTATTTTTGTCAATTTGTTGTGGTAGTTTTTTTTTATTGCTTAATTTATAACCTGTTCAACCCGGTTTAACCTTTTGACCCTTCGCTCTTTTCTGGGTCAATATCTGGTCCAGATTTGAAAAGATAGGATCAAAAAAATGAAGAGGATTCAATACTTTTCTTTGCTTTTTCTTTGTTCTAACTGGTAACTTAGGTTAGGGGATAATTTTTGGGGTAGGGATGGGGGAAGTTAATGTCAGGAATGTGAGTTGGTAATTTTCATTGAGCCACATTATAACCACAATTCTAACTCTGATGATCATGTCTGCAGGAAGCCATGCTGAAGGAAGAATTTCGGAACATGGAAAGGATGCAGAAGAGGGAAGGAGTGGATTTGACATATCTTAAAAATGTAATTTTAAAGCTTCTGGAGACAGGTACCTTCGTAATGTATTGGCTGCACAAATGCAGTCAAACTGCCTTATTATAATACCTTTTACAGATTAAAAATAGCATAATTAATAGAGATAATAATTATAATGTTACTACTTGTTATAATGAGATATTTTATGTAGTTCATTTTATATTTTTGCAAGAAAGAACTGTACTTTCTTTTTACTTGGGCTTTATAATTCAGAACTTGCAAAATTACACATACAGCCTAAATGATGTTGTCATCATGCTTGAATTACTGATGGTAATTAGGTACTAAGATAAGTACCATATATATTCACTATTACTCCTAGCCCTTGTCTGGTTTAGATAAAAATAAGATTTCTAGTAGATTTTAATAAAAGTTGATGAAATGTGGTTTAAAAGTTGTGGGTCCCATAAAATGTGTGGTTATAATTAATTGTTGACTTTAATCGAATTTTTAAGCGGAAACAAATAGGGGCCTAATATCTTTTTGAGTTGTGTCATTCGACAATGGAAGGTCATTTGACTAACCTGCACAGTTCATTCTGCACTATTTTTATTTTTAAGGTACAGGTCTTGTTAGAAATGTATCTGAATACTTTTTAAACTTATTAAAAGTGCATGATGTCAAGTATCATGATTTTAGAGCAAGTGTTGCTAAATTGGGCTAATTAGTAAATACAGCATGCACACACTTAAAATAACTAAATTTATATACTTGATTTGGGAAACATTACTTATTTTAAAACAAAAAAGTCGGTTGCTCTGTATTATATTAGTCACTAGAGAATAGAGATTATTAACTTTTAGAATTAATTGTAAGATTATCAGTGGTATGTAATATTTCTTCCTTCCTTCCCGCCCCCCCCCCCCCCCCCC